CTGACATGACAGGGATTCCGAACGGGGCGAGGAAGAGTAAGGGGCCTCAAACTTAGAGAAAACTCTGACGCATACACATTGACACTTCCATGAGGGGTCAGAAGTTTAAAATTAGATCACAGAGTCGCTGGTTTTCCTAACGTGTCACGGGGCATCTTGTCGTCGTGTCGATGGCTTTGAGTTGAGAGAGAGAGAGGGGGGGGGGAGTTCGCTCGTGAATGGAGGTCTGTGGCCGTAACTCTCTTGACCTTACTCGCCGCGCGCATCGCGCGGTTGAGCGGCAACAAAAACAACGACGGCGCGGGCAAACAGGTGATTCGGCGGAACCGCGCGACCCGGCGGACTTTACCCCGCGCTCCTCAAATGCCGCGGCGACGAAATCAACGGCGCGCGTCGCGCGGCGGCCTGCCCGGCCAGAGATATACCAAATTGCCTTCACCTTCGCCGTGTCGTCCCCGCCGCCGGTCCGCGCCGCTTCGCAGCAGTGTATTTGGCGGAACAATTCCTTCGACGAATACGCGATTGCACGGGTAGGAGTTTTCGCTTCTCAGAAAGCAACCTTGACGGTCTCTCCACTTCGCTCGGCGGCCGCCACCGCCGCCGCCGCTGCCGCTGCTCTTGCTGCGCCGTGGCTGCGCCGCGCCGCCGTGCGCTGTTCAAAGCACGAAACGCCCCGTCCGAGGAAGAGCAGGCGCGCTGGCGGCCGGCCCAACAGCGCGCTTTACGCTCACGACGATGCAAGCGGGACCCACTTGCATAGAGAGAGCGGGAGCGCCAAAGGAGCATAGCATGCGATGCATATGTAAAGCGGGAATGTAGAGAGAGGAGAGCGCGGCCAGCATCAGCAGTATTTGCGTCTTTGAACCATCGGGTTCAGAGGAGGAGGCGAGGAGAAGGACAAAGAATGTTGTACGAGTCAAGTCACATACATATTCTCTTTCCTTTTTGCGTGCTGGTTTTCAATATTGTTTTTTCCCTTTTTCCGCTCGCCGCACCTCTCGTAAACGATCTCATTCCCGGTATACTCTCGTGCTAGCGGGGGGGG